ATGGTGCAGAAAATGTCGTGATCACTCACTTGAAGAGAGAGAACATGTCTTCATGCATACCTCTTCCAACATATAGTTTTGGCTACAAGATGGAAAAGGATAAAGAAACAACTATGACGAAAAGAAAAACAAAAGTGAAGACCAGTATACTCAAGAACCAGAAGAATAGTTTAATACTTGCCTGAGCCCACCACATTATAACTTTGATAATTCGCATGTCTGAACACTCCATGGCTCTCCGGAATGGTGGAACAAGGAATAACAGAGCTGCCAGTATGTTTGGTAACACGTAAAATGAAACAGCGTACGTATAAAAGGACTGATCCTTCCAATCCCCAGTCCAAGTACTGAAGAACTTTACAACTCCAGTTGGGCGTTGGACAGACTTCGAGTAAGCAATTGGAAGCAGCACCGCCCACATAGCTGCTACTGCTAATTTCAAAAGGTACCGCAATATCTGGGAAAACTTGAAATTCTTCCAGGCATTGAAATTTAGGATAATATCCAGTGCAGCTATGTAAAGAATCATGAGGGAAAAAGAGGACAAGGAACACCATTAGAACATCAAAAAAGAGAACCTCTTCACTAATAAAGAAGAAATAACAAAGGAAATCACAACCTTGTAAAAGAGTCAGATACGCCGAAGTAATAAAAATAGTTAACACCGTTTTGAATACATCCTTGTCAAAGATGTCGCCTAGGGATCCAGAACCATGCCATCCAACTATTACCATAGCCTACAAAAGATAAGGACAAGTATGATAATATAACTTATTTAGTTTTCAGACTAACACTACTCTTTTAAACACTAAAAATTTACCTGAAAAGCCATGATAAGAAATATCCACATTCGATCAAAATCTCTGAAGAGGTTCCAGAATGTGCGGACTTCAACAAAGTTGGTTTTAGGCTTGCTTTTCCCATAAGTGACTTGATTCAGCCTCTGCAATAGATTAGACATACACGATCAGGTTTCTGTAGTATCACAAAAAAAGGAAGGCTTACAGAGAGATCAAAACGTTCATAATGCTGCTGTATCATATATGAGCTATCCACGACTTAAAGAACACCTTGATAACATAAATTTTGGAAGTTATATGTACACTCATATTAGTTAAATTTTGTATCTCATACCCTACTAAATTTTTAACCAAGATTACAGCTACTCAGAAGCAAATGAAATATACCTCGTCCTGTGGGGTTATCTCGTCAGAGTTTAGGAAAAAGTCTGCTTTAAGGTCAAGAGGCCATCCTATCTTGAAGCATTTCTTAGACCTTCAAATAAATAAAGATGTCAGCAGTCAGAAACTAGATCAAGTAGGCATGTGTCAAATAATTTAGTAAAGAAAGTCACCAAAAGTATTCATTCAAATCGTCGTAATTTCTCCATTGCGAATGGCTTGCTGTGCCTCCCTTGTTCCTTTTGGCTTCCTTCAAGGTATCATTTTCATTCAAAAGATAGTGTACAGTTACTTATAAATATATACAACATGATTGACTTTGATATACTTACCTTGCGTATGACCTGATAGATTGGAGTTATAACATTTCTCAGAAATGATTCTTCATCAATAACTTCTTCTGTTTCATATGTCTCACCACTAACAGCTTCAACATTGCTAAACAGAATTCCATAGACGTCATTTGCCATCTTAAGAACAAAACAGACAGGAAAAGCGTTTCAAACCATCCAGAACCGGAAGAAAGTTACGGAAAGTATGCATATCTTGTTTTGAAGATGAGAAAACTTACATTATGGAAAATATAGCAGATACATTCGGGCATAAATCTAACATTTGAGGCTTCTCCCCATATTAAAAGGTACAGGGAAATATAGATAAGCTGCAACTGCTGTTTATCACAACCTTCTGGAAACCTTTTAAGATTGAAGTTGAAGCATCCAACATCAGATATGTGACCCCAAAGACAGAACATAATGCAAAAATAAAATCTTTGGAACTTATCACATAATCTAGATCAAGAATACAACATACTTGAGATTAGGCGTAGAGTGCAAATATTTACACCATGAGTAATAACTTTTAAAAGTTTTGTCCATCAACTCAATGACGGTGCTAGGTTTCAACTGCAAAAAACTTACAACATTACTAAAACAGGAAGAAGTGTAGGAGAAAAACAGAAGGCATTCTCTATAACAATGCCCACCTCATCATATTCTTCATCATTTCTGTTTCTAATATCAGCATTAGCAAGAAGCAGTATTATGTGCTCCCTCTGATTTGCTACGTTCCCTCTCTTCAATCACAATATGAAGTGAAACAACAATGAATATGCATACATAAAAGAAACTGCAAGAACATCTAAGTAAATCTTGCCAAACTCTCTGAAGATATGCTGATAAAAACTTAACCATGCGACAATCAAAGTCGACTTGATTCATGTGATTACTCAAAGTTGACATGTTTATCTCTTATACATAAGTTTGACAAACACTATAAGGCTAATGGTATGGTTCTCTATATACAAGTCAACAGAATAGTGATATTGTGATAATAAGCATATTACGAAATTTACTCAATCTAGAAGGGTCACAAAACTCAAACACTACATTAGCCTAGCAAATCATCGTAACCACAATACAAGTTATACAAGAAAAAAGTACATAAAGACAGTTAAGTAGCACGGTACCTGAAATCCGAACTCAGAAGCAAGCCATTCAAGTATGTCATTAAGTTTGGTTCTAGCCTTACGCATTTCATTAGGGGCATTAGATGGCAAGTGAACTCTTCGTCGAGGAAGATTGCGCACATTACGAACAGCACTGAATGCAGCCTTGACCTATTTTTGTCACAGCACATAACATGACAAGAAAAACAAAAGAGTGTAAATATTTCTCTAGCTTACTAATTCGTAGCAATCCCCCTATGTTCAAACGTACCTCAGGAAGTTCCACAATAGCTGGTTTAGTCCCTACAGCATATAAAGGAAGAATGTTGTAGTGCTCATATCTATCCCTTTTCTTTTCAACTTCTTCTGCATATCTACGGGTCTATAATAACAGAAGCATGAAACAAGCATAAAAAATAAAATTACCATTAAAGGAATTTAATAGGCATATAAATCGAACCTCGTAATCCACTTTTGGAGAAGGTACTACAGTCTTCAGTACATCGTACAATACCGAAGCAATTTGGTAAAGCCTTGCCATCTCCTCCCTGTAGCAAAAAAACAGAAGCCCCAAAAAAAAAGAGTGCAGCTCAATATCACTACGCTTAGCTTATTGAATCTTTGCCAGGAATAAGGAAAGTGCCCTCACGGTTTTCTTGATGTTTCTCCTTCTTTAATATATTTCTCATAGAAATTCTGGTAATATGCCTGAATTTCTCTAGGATCGTTTTTTGCCAACTGAGGTTTGGTTTCCTCTTCTTCCTAAAACAAATAAAGACACATCAGCTAAAAATGATCAAGTAAAGTGGAAATCTTCTTTCCAATTAGAGAAACCATTAGACCAAGCAAGTAACATACCTTCTCCAGTCTATGTAACAGATAGGTCTTAAACTGACGAACACCGCGTCCACTCGATGTAGCATCCATCCTATGAGCCTTCTCAAACGCATGAAACCGGCCTGATATAGTCAAAAACAGAACCATACTTGTTATACAACTATGTCTATGGTAAACAGAACCCATCGATAAAACATCTTTAAATAGAAACTGGCTAAAGCAAACAAGACTATTTGCATCAATACTACTCGAATCTTAATACTCGGAAGCAAGAGTGCAAGACTATTTTAGCTTAGCAAATATATCCCAAGAGTGAATTTCATCAAAAAAAGAAGAAAAAAAAACTCACAGAGATAAGCCACTCGAGGATTTTCCTTCTCAATTTCATTAGCAACGCGAAGAATCGGAGCAATAGAAGCAAGAGAGGAAGGAACAAGCTCGCTATCCATAGCGCTAGCATCTTCGTTTGGTCTATCAATCATCATAGTAGTCGCACGTGACGGAGCTCTCCGGGAAAGAGACCGCGGCAACTCCGCTGTTCCACTCGAACTAGCTTCCATAGCCGCCGTGAATCGAAAATAGAATTAATACAACCACCGTCTCCTCCTCCACAAAAACCCAATAATTTATCCGTCAAAACAAAAATGTCACTGAAATCAAAGTAATCGATTAACATATTTGTTAATTGATCTCCTTTTATACCCACTTTATAAGAAACACAAAAGAAAAGAGATTGATAAAGATGGCAAAAGGGGTTTTCTTCGAGAGATTGGTTTAATTCTATATACATATACTTGTGCTTTTTTCCGTCTAAGCTTTTTCATCTTTTGATCTTTCTTTCTTTTTTTGCTCTCGCTTTTTGCTTTTTTCTCTGGGCATAGTACGAAGCTCTCTCTAAATTCTTTTGCTTAGCGAGGAAGGTGACAGTGGAGGAGAAAACACGAGACCACAAATATCCAAAAAGTTCACCAACGGTTATTTAAGGATTTTCAATTTCCTTTTTTTTATCAGATCCTTCAATTTCCTTTTTTTATCAGATCCGTCAATTTCCTTTTTTTTTATCAGATCCGTCTCTCAATTTAACGATAACATCCCAAAACGACACCGTTTCGTGGTCTCAAAATTTTATGTGAAAAAATGGCGCTACGTTTAACAAAAACAAATCGCGCTACAAATTTTCGAAAAAGGAAGTGATACGACATCGTATAGTGCTCGACTTTTACGTAGCTATCTTTCTTAAACGGCGGCGTTCCCAACGTCAATACGCCAACGTTTAAATCAGAACGGTGCGTCGTCGTATTTGCAAATAATAAAAAAGCAGTTAAACGATGCTGTTTAGAAAGGAAGACAAAATTTATATCTTCCTTAGAACACATTTTATATCCATCCACAAGTTCCAACACATGATGCACCTAAAACTAAAAACTGCAATCAAAAGTTAATATTTACAGAGCTTTCTCAGATCCAAACCTCCCTTTCTATCTTATAAACAAATTTTTTTGTCTTCCAAGGCGACATAGAGAGAAGAAAACGAGAGCTTGTTACCACTTTCATTCACTCCAGCACAACACACCACATTGGGCCTAACAACCATTCCGCAATCCAACGAGGCTTTTTCCCGGTAACTAGAAAAGTAAATTGGCGGATTTTTGCTTCAGGTCAATGCTTATAATGATTCTTTCGTTCATATAGGACTTGCTTTAGAAACCTGCACCATCGTGTCCAAACCAAAAACATGTTAAGTGACCTCCCTAAACAATCTATGGTTGATAAAGAAGAACTCTGAAACAAACTCAGAAGTCACTAACAGAGTGAAACTACTATCTCACTTGAGGATTTTTCGTAGTGTTTCAACATTCAACTATGTATTCATGTTCAGACCGCGATTCTTTCAAACCTTTCTTGAATGCTCTCAACATTGAATCTATCTTAAAAGTGCGCATTCGGTTTGAGTTTTTGTCATCTTAAAAGAGTTAGTTAGCTATAAAGATTGTGGTTTGCTTCGATTTATAGCTGATGCATGCATTTTACAGCTGACAATAAAACTCCTTTTGTGGGTCGACATGACTTCCTAATTTGGATGTTCATCAAGAGAATTGTGTACCTGATTTTTCGACACTGTAGTGGAGGCCCAGTCCTGTGGAGGTTGCCTTGCAACAGTTTCATAGTTGACATAAGTAATCCTTCTGGTGTCTTCTTGTCTACTCACAATGTTTTGAGGGGGTAACTCCCTCAATACCCATAAAACGAAAGCCAATGGTACAGTGGAACCTGTCAAAAAGCGTTCTTATCAACAATACTGCATTTGATATAACCACAAATGAAATAAAAAATCATTCACCTATGAAATAGTATATGATCAGAAGAACCAATGCTTTGATGCCGTGTAATTTGCTTGGGTTCCAATGATAGAAGAGCTGAGATCAAAGATTGTTTTTGGTTGAGCGTATCGACAAATGTTAGGTTTCGGTTTACAGACATACTTTTTTGAGTGATAATGACTTACTGGAATGTGTGTGAGAAGAGCGATTAAAGAGCTAACAGTGAAGCAAACAACTGAGACGCCTGCTAAACCCGATACCTATAAATGGTTAAAATGCTCTTCGGTGTAAGGATTCGACTGACATGTGCAAGGAAAGAAAAGCTTCAGGAGCCAATAAGAATCAGTAATTACCTTACGCATCTCTGCTGAAACTTGTTCAGACCGCACCTTTCTTAGATTAAAGAGCAGACGCAGGCCTAAAGAACAAGAAAAAACACAAAAGGGTTTGTGAGTATATGCTATTCAATCATATCTACAAGAAAAATATGAATAGCTGAAACCAGAAAAGAACTAAGAAATCACTTACCATAGAAGCATATTCCTCCTCCCGTGATTAGGATTATTGCAGCAAAAATATCGACATACACCTACATAAGGAAGTGAATTTATCATAAAACCAGAAATAATATCGACAAAAGTCTTCTATTTCTCGAGCTTAAGAACTTAGTGAAAGAGGAAATATCAATAAGCAGAGGACTACCACATACCTCAGCCAATAATGAAGAATTCATAGGATTCTTTCCGGAAGCGATCCAGATAAGGATTGCAAATGATATCATTAAGATGAACACAAGAATAACCGCCTAGCAAAAAGATAAACATTTTTGTAAAGATCACAGAAATGACTTGGCTAGTGGTTGATGCACAAAACCGATAGTATCCCATACCGCAACAACAAACTTCTGACGGGTTCCAACATGAATCCCATGGAAAGAGCAACACTTTCTACGATCACTAGCATTTGAAGAACCTGGCTTGCTCTTGCTTTTTTCAAGCAACGCTTGTTGGATGCTATTTTCTTCATCATCATCATCATCCTCCTCTCCATTTCCCTGATGGCAAACATCTACCCTATAACATTAAGAAGTATCATTGTCTTACTCAGATCATTATTCAGATAAAATAATCAGGAACAACACAATATGATGAGAGTATTGAGAATATAAATACCAGAAAGAGAGAAGCAGGAGAAAAGTTGCCAGAAACAGGATTTTGGGAAAGGCTGCAAGTACAATTTGATTCATCAGGGAATTAACTATAGGAGAAATCAATGAAAAACAGACACAAACCTTAACAAAGGAATGGAATTTTTACCCATGAGTAGAAAACCTAATGCATTAGACCAATGATGCCACCTTGTGCAAGTCGCAATAATCGCAGCAACGAAATAAACGACAGAACCTGCCAATAGATTAGGACAGAGAGACCTTATTCACATGCTACAACTTTCCCCAATTATCTTAGTTGCCTATATAATGAATGCCCCGAGGGTTACCAGTGTTTGAAGAACCAATCATTAGATGAAGTACCTGCAATTTTCATTTGATGAATGTGTCAGATAACATCATAACAAGTAACAAGAATTAAATCCATATAACAACAACATAGAGCCTAAATTGGGATTCATAAGAAACAGAAAGATGAGAAGAATTACTTTTTGCCGAGTCCATCCAACTTGTTTATTCCGCCTGTGAAATCGAGATAACTGAAAGAAGTAGGCAGCCAAGATAAATCTTATAAGCCAAACCCCACAAAAAAAAAAAAGAGAATAAGACTTTTTTTTAAGTACTTCAAAGTCTAAAGCTACATAGACATGTTAATCTACACTCACTGCACTTTAAAAAAGAAAAGATTCTACTTTCTAATGCTAATTCATATCAGATTCAGATTCCCTGAATCAAATCTCTCATTCTACACAAACACACTTGAGCTTCCGTGAATTAATTCATAGAGTTGACCTGAAACTTAATGGTCAACCACATGAACAACAGACACACAACTCTAAAAGACTGAAATCAACCAATTCATTAAATTCAACACCAAGAATCAATAATCTCACATTAAATCGAATTCTAAAAGACCAAATTCAGCACAATGCTTAACCTGTCCGAACAGGCCAAAGCGGTCTCACAAAATCTAGCATTCAGAAATCAAAAATCGTTTTTGTTTCCAGGAAAAACGAAACCTTGAGAAAAAAAACTATAATCAGAATCGTCAGAACCTGAAGGAATGCGATGAAAGCAAGAGCGGCATCGATAAAAGCCAGAGAGAGATTGACGGCGATGAAGCTTGAGGCATAGCATTTATCCGTGGTTGATTCGAAAAGCGTCGCTAATAAGATCGTCATCGTGAATCCTCTCTTTCTTTTCGATCCTCCCCAGAGATCGAATGCCGAGATTTTAGGTTTGTAAGAGAGAGGATCAAAGAACACCACCGAGACAGATGGTTGTAGGAGATGGGTTGGGTCTGGTCTGAGAGACAAAAATAAAATTATTTTTATATTTATATATTTTCTGGACAGCACAATATAATTTATTAAATTTATTTACTACAAGTGGTACGGCACATTAGAGAGACTATAATATTAGTAATATACAACAATTACCGCCAGAAAGAAATTAATTAATTTCTGTTGCTTAAATTACTACTACTAGTGTCAATAGTAAAAGTGTACATATAACTAAAATTATTAATATGATATTGTCCTCCTATAACATTATTTGTTATTCAATTTAATATCTGTAAATATAGCTAAAATCTACAGTTAACCTTTTCAAAAAAATGCTATGCTCAATGGAAACTTTTATTTGATTAGATACTACTAATTAAACTAGTATTTTTAATTTTGTAATGAAGTTGAATATGGAGAAAAATACATATTATCATAGATTTAAAACTTGGCAAAAAAAAATCATAAAGTTATCAATATCTCTTTAATTAAGATTCATTATTAATTATTGTGAGAAGTTGAAAATGAAGTGACTAAAACGAATTAACTAGAAAAATAATTGTTTAATTTTATTTTCCTTTTTTCGAAGCTAGGTTCTAATTTCCCAAAAAAATGATCTTTTTTTTGAAGTCAAAAATCATGTTAAGCTTGATTTGTTTATTTTTGCACTGTGAAAATCAATGGCATTGAGTTTTCTTTCCGTCTTCACCCAAATTATCAAACCCTTGTTCTTCTTCGCATCGATGTAAAACAGAGACACCTCTTTCTGCAACACTCTTCGCCGACCTTTCTCAGGTACATAATCCGTTTTCTTTTGTATGGTTTGTGTTCTGCAATATCCTTAAGCTTCCTTAGTTTCCAATCTCTCTAGATTTTTGGATTTCTTTCAAATTGGATCAATAAAGGCGATGATTTGACAATTCCATTGCCTTATTACCTTACCAAAGTGATTCCTAACTTCACAAACTATTCAGGGATTACTATCAAACTTTGGCAATCGCAGAGATTACAAATTCATCATACTAACTGGTAATGTCCAACTCTTGTCATTGATGTTAGACTATAGAGTTTGAGAAAATGCATATAGCAAGCAAAATTAACTCACTTTGTATTCAGAAATGAAGTTTGAATAAGTACATTAGTTTGGTATGATCTTAGTTCAATACATGCTTAAAGGAATATTCTAAAGAATGAAAAAATCTAAAGGGAAAAAAAATGAATCTGTTCTTATTGTGTGTACAGTTGCTTTGATGGACTTAAAATCTGTATAATCGACAAAAAAGGTTATATATCTGCACACTTTGTAGGTGCATACCCGAGCCTGGACCTCTTTGTATCATATAGTATATGAAAATTCTGCTGCTGGTAGTTTCCAATGATTGAAAAGGCTGATTTGGGAGTTCCAAGAATGGCCAAGCAAACCAAATCCTCACTCAACCATATGAAAGAATTCTCTGTCGGGAAGTTCCAAACCGCGCCATCTGCAAAAGCAATCCCAAGCTCTGGCAGCTGAATGTTATCGATGCCAGAGACGTTGAAACAAGGATCTAGGATTGGGAAATCTCTATAAACCGGGTACTTCCCTTTCGCTTTCTCTGCTATCTTGTTCTTGATGAATTCATATGCAGGTTCCGCGAAATAACTTAAGGTTGTACCTGAATCAATGATTGTCCCTCCAGCGCCATCTGATGAGATATTCCATGTTTCTTCAGGTATGTTTAGAACTTCTCCCGCGACTATAATGGATTTGATCTGTACGTAGTAAAATGTGTCGACGAGGTTTTCTTTCCCGGCTACGAAAGAAGTGAAGTTCAGATTCGGATGGCTCAACAAATCCTTGTCTTCCCCAAAAATCAGTTTGCTACTAACGTTGGTATCGCTGTTTCTATCAACAAGGCAATAAGAGAAGGAATGACCATAAAGAGACTGAAGCTGAGAGGAAAACGAAAGTGGGCCTCTTCCTAACCCAAGCAAGCCTGCAGCACCATGGAAGAGACCTCGGTTCCAATGACCACAACCGAACATCATGTTTTCGACATTATACAACTCCGAGCTCCCTCCACTTGTAGTGAGATTAACCGTGAAAGTCTCGACTGCAAAATCTCCGGTAGTGTTGGAGCTATCCCCATACCAATAGTAGTAAGGGCATGATTGGTTATCTGATTTGCAGGGCTTTGGAGGGTCAGGTGGTGAGACTAGGTTGCATCTTGGGTCATTGCAAGTTATGTTCTTGTAAGAAGCAGAGGCTGTAGGATCATAAAACGCACCGTTTTGCTGGAAACAGTCGTAGCAAGGCAAGCATTGAATCCAGTTAAGGTCACTCCCTGTATCAAGAATCAAGGAGAAGTGTTTTGGTGGCGAACCAACCAACACGTCCATGAAGTACTCGCCAGAACCGAGGGTCATACCAGACTCAAGTGTTGCCACCAATTGACCAGTCTGCTCCTCCACGGAGGAAGGCGCCGGAGTGGTAACGACTTCTTTGTTCTTCTTCTTCTGCTTCTGCGAAACAGTGTTTTGGTTCTTCTTCTCCAAAACCCTTTTGTGAAGCGTCTGAATTCTTGTGAGATCTCGGATTTGAAGCTCAAGAACTGAATTTGTTGTTGTCTTCTCTGTTTTGTGCTTCGTAGTAGTCTCCCGGCGCTTTAAGTGAAACTTCACCGTCTTGTTTTCTCCAGTCGGTTTCTTGGTTGGTTCGTTCTCAGGGGTAGCGAAGCCGCAATCGTTGCTTGAGGAAGAAGAAACAGAACCGAAAGGCATCGGATTAGGAAAGTCAATCCCAGAAAAGCCAGAGATGTTCTTCTTCTGCTCATTGTTTCCAGCAAGAGCTCTGGAGTCGCCGGAAAATGCAGTGACGAAGAAGAAAATAAGACAAAGAATGAAACTGTACTTGGAAAACATTAGGATAAATGCTTGAGAACAAAAAATCGCCGGCGACGATTAAGCTTTGAGTCGCCGGGAAAGAAAAGTAAAGTAAAAAAAAAGTGACAGAAGCAGGAGTTGTCTTTTTTGCGGAGAGCTTTTCTTAGTTTCGATTGTATCAGAATTTGATTTTGGAGGAATAGAGGAAAATTAAGAAGCTTAGAGAGAGGAAGAAGAAGAAGAGGAAAGAACAGAGTAGAGATCTTGGTGAAGTCAGATTACTGAAAAAGAGGAAAATAAAATCTATAAGTTGATATTTGTTGACTAAAGTCATCTTCTTCTTCACGCGGTTTCATATCTACTTCGTTTCTTTTACCGTTTCTTCTGTCTTAAAACTTGATTTTTATCATCATATTTTTAAGGAATAAAGAGAACAAGAATATAAAGAGTTAGTTAGCTGCCAAGTACTTTTTAAAAGGAAAATTAGTTTGAATAACAATAACAACATTAATGTTAATAATTAAGTCAATTACGATATAGTTTTATAAGTTAGATCAATGAAAATTTTGGTAGTGGCAGAAAAACTATAAAAGAAAAAGATCTCTTGTGACACAAAAAAAAAATTGATCTCTAATGCATATTTGGACTTTTATGGTCTTCTATATGAAATGTAGATTTTCATTTTTTCATAATATTCAAGTTCATGAAATTACATTTTTGAGAATATTGTGTAACTTAGAATTATTGTGGCATAAATGCTACGGTCAATGAGATTATATAGATACAAATGTGGTTGGTGAATTTTTCTGTTTGGTGCGATTGTAAGCAAACGTGATCATTTTGCGGTAAACGTTTCTTCGTCGTTTTTTTTGTTCGAAAACGTTTTGATCTTTCTTTGTCAACATTTAATCTCTAAAAGACAAACAAAATTCAGTCGTAGTAAAATGATTAGAAAAGAAAAAACTATAACCATGATAATTCATTAATTTGTCATCATCAATTAAACTGCATAAAAAAAAAAAAAAAAAAAAAAAAAAAAAAAAAAAAAAAATTAAACTGCATAACAAAAAAAAAGAATTTGATTGCCTGATTGGGATACAAAGAGTCTAAGACACAATTAAAATCTTTAACTATTAGAACAAATAGCAAACATTTAAGTTGTTGGTATCTAGGCTTTAATCTATTACTAATAAAGAAATATGAGAAAAATATTTGCACAATAGAAAGAAAAATAGAGAAAAATATAGTAGTTTGACCGCCAAACCAAAGAATGAGATCTTTGAAAAAAGGTCTTAACCAATAAAACTTCGATCACCTTTAAGACGCATGCCAGAATAAAATAGACATCGTCACAATACAATACTATAAGATTCAAATAACGCATTATGAAAATGGACGCATGTCAATATAATTCCTAATAAATAAACACCTTAGTGTGCATTATTAACTAATTACTATAAAGCAGAGTCGTTAAAGTTGACCGCTTATAACCATACTATTCAATTTGAGTTCAATTTTAAAATACGAAGAGTTTTGTATATTTGACGGTAAGAGGGACGAGTCCTTACGTTTTCTCTTAAGCTGTTTGACTAAGACCAACCAAATTAACGTTTTTTATGATAATCTAAACCTTAATCTGAATTACAATCATTTAATAAATTCAACACCCCGGAAAACATATTAAGGTTTTTGTTTTTTGTCACCCCAAAAACGTATAACGTTAGAAGTTGACCGGGAAAATAGGCTAATACTTTTCTATTGCGACACTATTCCAAGTAAACACAAACAAAAAGTAAAGCAAAACAAAATGATTTGATTTGACTTTTTTGTGGCAACCAGATTGCCGTGATGAGCAAAACAAAAAAAAATAGTATACATTAACTAAACTCTGTATCACTGTATGTATCATCGTGTCCTATGCATAATGCACTTACGTAACCTATAAATTTTTTAAAAAGTTATAAAAATTTTCATTTTATAAAATTGAATAGGTAATTTTGATTTGAAGAGATTATTGTTTATTTATTTTTAAAACATATATGATTATCTTATGGAAATTTAGTTTTAATAATTTAGAAAATGTCAGTTTCTTTTATAAATAATTTTAATTACATGTTTTAGAAAGGAAAGACAAATAGTATTCCAAATAATGTAATTGATAATTTCCTTATAAATTTGCTACTAAAAAAAAACCTAAAAGATTAAAAAAAAAAAGGAATAAACAAGGCTTTCCAAATTTGAAAGATATCGTATTAGATAAAGTAAATATGTGAAAACTGAAAAGTTTATTTTTTGGATTGATAAAGATATGGAAACGGCCAAAAAAGGAAACAATATCAAATTGTGGAAACATAGTCCTAAGTCCTAACGACACTAGGAATAGGAAGTGAATGTAACTCGCTATAAATATGCGAAACTACTCAAGCTTCTAGCACTAAAAAAATCTAATCTCTTCTTCCAAAATCGTAAACCTTAGTGTTCTCCGAGAAAAGCAACAATCATAAGATCATGTCTTTGTCTTCGAGAGTCACGTTAGTCGTTTTGTGTTGTCTGTTCGTGTTGATTCCATCTTTTACGATAGCAACAACAGAACAAGGACTTCATGCTAGATGTAAATCTTACAGCTTCAACAACGGAAAAAGCTTTCGCTCTTGCACGGATCTTTCGGTGCTAAACTCTTATCTACACTTTAATTATACTCAAGAAACCGGAGTTCTTGAAATTGCCTACCGTCACTCCAATCTTGAGTCTTCTAGTTGGATCGCGTGGGCTATAAACCCGACGAGTAAAGGCATGTTGGGAGCTCAAACACTTGTGGCTTATCGAAACTCAACTTTTGGTGTTATGCGTGCTTATACTTCCTCCATTAATAGCTACTCTCCTATGCTTCAAAGAATCTCCTCTTAGCTTTCTTGTAATGCAAGTATCCGCCGAGTATTTTAATGGAGAGATGATGATATTTGCAACTTTAGTCTTGCCTCCTAACACAACCGTCGTTAATAACTTATGGCAAGACGGTCCGTCGAAGGAAGGAGATAGACTTGGAATGCACGCAATGAGTGGAGATCATCTCAAATCCATGGCTTCTTTGGATTTGCTTTCCGGACAAGTCACAACCACAAAATCAGTTAACGGAAACATGTTGTTGGTAAAGCGAATCCATGGAATAGTGAATGCAATAAGTTGGGGAATTCTCATGCCTATTGGAGTTATGGCTGCAAGATATATGAAAAACTACGAGGTATTAGATCCCACATGGTTCTATGTACACGTAGTTTGTCAAACCACGGGTTATTTTGTCGGTTTGATCTAAGGATTAGGAACATCAATCTACATGGCAAGACATACCGGGATGAGGACTACATTTCATACCGTTATAGGATTGCTTCTATTTGCTTTAGGGTTTTTGCAGATACTTGCGCTCAAAGCAAGACTGGACAAGAATCATAAATACAGAAAATATTGGAATTGGTATCATCACACGGTAGGATACATAGTGATTGTACTAAGCATCTACAATATCTACAAAGGTTTGTCTATTTTACAACCCGGAAGTGGCTGGAAGATTGCCTACACTACCATAATCTGTTGCATTGCAGCGTTTGCCATTGTGATGGAAATTTTACAGTTTAAGAAGAGATGTGCTGGATTGTTTTGCAAGAAAACCAAAGCTCTAGAAGCTGATCATCACACTACCTCCGTTGATGTGGTCTAGTTTTTGGTTCTTTTACTTTTTGGGGATTTTAAGGTTTTCTTAGTTAGTATTAACATTCGTATGTCCATTCCTTCTGTACAATTCTAGACTTTGTTAGTCTTTCTTAATTTTTACTTGTGAAAGACGAATTACTTATGATTAATAGAAATTCTTTTAGTCAATAATTCAACAAGATTTTGTGATTGAATAAATTACTACTTTTAATTCTTTGTTCTTGAACTTGTGCTATGGCCGTCCCATGTTACACTGCTGGTAATATACTCTTCACAAATTTTCGTAGATACTCACAATTTCCAAGCCATGTGATAAAACCTTAATGAACGTCGAAAAATTGTACTTAGGTGGACTATATTAAGCTAACAAATCGTTTTATAAATTCGTGAATTCTATTCTTTTGCAAGAGTTAAATTAACTGACAAATAAGAAAATAAATAATTTTATTAAACCAAAAAAAAAAATAATAATAATAATTTTGAAATCCTGATCTAAGAAGTTAGATATGAATAATCTTGTATGGACCTTCAGATCTGTAATCATCACAAGGTCGGCGGCGGAGTAGACCGGAGAGACGGAAAAGGCGGTAGGGAAAAAGCGAGCAGCGGATTTGAAATTCAGATTGAAAACTATAATTTAACGAAGAACTTCATGATCCCCTCAGTTTTTGTTGTTTCTTATCCACATACTTTCTCCGCCGCTTCTAGCCTTTCATCCCTACCACCCTCCGCCGCCAATCCGTCTTCTTGCATCGCCGCCACCGCCGCCTGATTGTTTCAGAACGGTCTCTTATAGACTTAGGGTTTTGTTAGGACTAAAATGGGCCGAACGAATAGGCCCAATAACGCATCTCTATAGACCACATGAATTAAAAATATTTTGGGGCTTTTTCTGATAAATTCAATTTACTAATATCATTGCATTTTATCCCGAGGCTTTATTTTTAATTAATGTGATGTTATCCTTTTTTTTTTTTTTTTGGTAAAAGGATGTGATGTTATCCTTCATCCTATGAATATGTATATTCATAAATATCTAATATATGGTTCCTTAATTGATGTTGAAAGAAGATTCGTTCCTTACTTCGACGAAATCTAATGTATTCATAGCTTTCATTCATATATCGGTTAGAAGATGAAATTAATTATCCAACTAGGCGACGACTTATATGTCGACATGAGTTATAAATTCAAATACAACGACATAATTTGAGTCAAATGCATTTTTTTAAGTAAGAAAAAAGAAAATAAATATGGTATTGGTTTTGGGGTTTCATGAATTATAGCTGGCATCGGTGTAACCGTGTTCACCTTTGCTTGATTGGGATAACAACGTTTTACATGTATTGTCGACGGCAAACGAATCTATCTAAGTATCTATCAACCTAGTTCATCCAAAACGTTTTGGCCAAGTGTTCATATTCATCAATTTTCACTAAACTACTAATATTTAAATTAGAATATCTTACAATATACTATTTTATATGGCTGGAAACAAAAACTGAGTTCCTTGGCTCATGGCCTTCTATAGCTTTGAACGGACGCTATTACAAACTCGTCTCTTTCGTGGACAAAGCAAATGAGGGCCAGAGACTTTTAAGGAAAATGTCTCCTTTCGGTGGATGCTTTGTTTCACAACGCCCCCACTATATATGTCTGTCAACTTGTAAGTTGCAATGTAATCTTTTCTACAGTCTATCATTACTAATATGTCGTTTATCATTAGATCGGTAGGGGTTATGCACATTAAACGATAAGATTGATGTGATAAGGGTTAGAAACTGATTTACTACTAGTCTTAAATTATTGTGATAAGGATTCGGAAATTAATGTGAGCATAATTTTGGTGGACCATTGTTTGTTTGTGGTCCATCGTCCATGACAACAAGTCTCACAACGGTCCACGCACGGTTTAGCATTACGACATTGTGATTGCATATTTAGGCTCAAAACTGTTATTTAATATCCAAAATTTTGTGATTAGTTGTTTTGTTGCTTTCTAGTAATCAGGTGTTAATAACTTCCAAATTCACAATCAACTAAAAAAACGTGTTTATGGATTTGCAGTCGGTTAGAGATTTATATGACACAAAAAAAACTTACGATCGTAGCTTTAACTAGTCAACATGTGACATAAATGCGATGTGGAATTTGCCGGGGGGAAAAATGATGACTTCTCAAGATAATTTACGCTCGGGTTTTAATGAGACTCTGACAAGAAATTGAATTCAGATAATGATAAAACGGTTCATATATTCATTTCGTAGATGATGATATAAACTCATATATCAAAGCATCGTAGAAAATCTTTAACAAAAAAAAAAAAAAGCATCGTAGAAAATACTCAAAATAGAGAACTTCAATTTGTATTTTTGTTTACCATTTTTGAGATACTACTATTCGCTGAAAGAGAAACATAGATAAGAGGGGGGTATGATTTGACAAAAACACCCTTAATCATTGGTCAAGACTCAAGACTCAAGACTCAAGACTCAAGAGTGTTGCAGATAAGGTACAGATCAGAAACCACCTCTAAAAATCGAGCAATAGATCTCTCTCTCTCTCTCAGACAAATCCAACCGAGTTGGTGGGTCTCACTAACTCTTTAACTAGTTGTCTGACAATTCGCCACGTGTTGCTCATCCTGAACAGTTTCCAGTACTATTGCCCCCACCGAATCATTATCTCCCCCTCGCTCACTCGCTTGCTTGCTGTAATAATCTCTATGCTTCCTCCTAGCTCTTGTCCCTTTCTGTCTGAACCTGGCAAGAAGAACCTTAGCCTCTCTTTCTTCTTTCTCTCTCTCTGTGTTCTCTGTTCTGTTTCAACTTTACTTTCTCAGTTTCTGTACAATTTCCCTATCTAGAAGAGAGATAAACCGAGAAGGTCTAGGAGATAGAATCTTTTGTTCTTCTTTTGTCTCTCCTTGCTCGATTTTGTTACGTGTGAAGCAAAAAAAAGAAAAACTGATATAGCTATATCTTCCATTCAGTCAGAGGCTTCTAAATCTGGTAATTACTTTTATAGCTTTGAGTTAGTAAGAATTTACCATATATAGAATTAGTTGCCTTATTAAATCATTTCCTCCTAGATTGCTGGAGAGAGGGTTGTTTGGTTTAATTATTTCTAATGATTACACTGTTGGGATTGGAATAATCCTTTCTAAGTTGATTGCTTTCATCATCCCTTTTTTGCTCAAAACTCCTGTTAATCATTATACTAATTATAAATCAAATCATTTATTATTCGCTTACAAAAAGAAGTAATATATTCTTATTTGGGTGTCTTTACAGATCTGACATGGAACAAGTATTTGCTGATTGGAATTTTGAAGATAATTTTCACATGTCCACTAATAAAAGATCAATCAGGTATATATAATATTCTAAGTCAAGTATTTCATAATTATATATCAATTTCACATCTTAATCATATCTATTTAGGAATTGTTTATTTGAATATGTTATGTAAACATCCATATTTTGGGACAGACCAGAAGATGAACTAGTGGAGCTACTGTGGCGAGATGGTCAAGTGGTTTTACAAAGCCAAGCTCGTAGAGAATCGTCAGTTCAAACCCACAAACAAGAATCCCTAAGAAAACCCAACAACATTTTTCTTGACAACCAAGAAACAGCACAAAAGCTTAACAACTCTGTTCTTCAAGATCAAGAAACCGTCTCCTGGATCAATTACCCTCCCGATGACGTCATCGACCCTTTTGAATCCGAGTTCTCCTCTCATTTCTTCTCTACGATCGATCACGTCCACGGTCCAGAGAAGCCACGGACGATCGAAGAAACGGTTAAGCATGAGGCTCAAGCCATGGCTCCTCCTAAGTTTAGATCCTCGGGTATAACTGTCGGACCAAGCCATTGCGGGAGCAACCAGTCTACAAATGTTCATCAGGTGACTACACTTCCGGTTTCTATGAGTGATAGAAGCAAGAACGTCGAAGAAAGACTTGACACTTCGTCAGGTGGCTCCTCCGGTTGCAGCTACGGAAGGAACAACAAAGAAACCGTTAGTGGAAGAAGCGTAACCATTGACCGTAAAAGAAAGCATGTAATGGATGCTGATCAGGAATCTGTGTCTCAATCAGATATAGGTTTGACCTCAACCGATGATCAAGCCACGGGTACCAAATCGAGCCAACGGTCAGGATCTACACGAAGAAGCCGTGCAGCTGAAGTTCATAATCTCTCAGAAAGGGTATACATATAAATCTTTCTGATTAGTTATAATATTTTTGGTAATTCTGATGTGAATTTCCTAAGAGTTTTAATTTTTTTTTTTGGTGATCTTTGTTTATTACAGAGGAGGAGAGACCGTATCAATGAAAGAATGAAAGCTCTTCAAGAACTCATACCTCACTGCAGCAAAGTAAGTTTTTTTCATCACAAAAAAACTGAGTTAATTAAGCTGAAACTGATTCTTCTAATAGAGAATGATTAATGGTGTGTTTGATTATGTATTGTCTTCTTTTTTTTTGTGTGTGTAGACAGATAAAGCTTCGATATTGGATGAAGCAATAGATTACTTGAAATCACTTCAAATGCAACTCCAAGTGATGTGGATGGGAAGTGGAATGGCAGCGGCAGCTGCAGCAGCAGCAACTCCGATGATGTTTCCCGGCGTACAATCATCTCCATACATTAATCAGATGGCTATGCAAAGTCAAATGCAATTGCCTCAATTCCCGGTTATGAACAAGTCCACTCCGCAGAATCATCCCGGTTTAGTATGTCAAAACCCGGTACAGTTTCAGCTTCAAGCACAGAACCAGATCTTATCGGAGCAGCTCGCTAGGTACATGGGCGGGTTTCCCCAGATGCCGCCGGCGGCGAATCAGGTCAGTTCCAAAACGACATCGTTTTCTGGAAAGATAAATATATTTATATAATATCTGACGTGTCATGTTTAAATATTAAATGCAGGCCGTGCAACAGCCAGCAGACATGTTGGGATTTGGATCTCCGGCGGGACCGCAAAGTCAACTGTCGGCACCGGCGACCACCGACAGTGTTCATATGGGTAAAATAGCCTGACGTGGCATATAATTTTCCTCCGAGATTATTCTTACTAGACAATGATTTTTATTATTTTTGGTCGCCTAAGCATGAAACTTAAACAAGTGTATTATATAATAAGGTAGTCTTATACATATAACTTATTTTAAACAGTTAAATTATCTCAATCAAGTGTTGAGTACCTAAAGATGCATGTATCAATGTATTTTTATATTTTGTATCAATATTGATGATATGTTCTCAACTCAGGGGTTCAGAAAAAACAGTAGCAAAAGGATAAACTGGGCCTGAATTGACGTTATCTTGGGCTTTTTTGTTTACGAACATAAGCCCATATTTATGCTCAAAACGCATACGTTATACAAAGAGGTAAAAAACGGAAAACGCTAACGTGATTGACTCCACCACGATTCGTACGTAACGAGTCCCATACCTACCTAATGTCCTAATCTAACTCGATTTCTAGTTTCCTCAACTTGTATTAGGACGGTGAAACCAAATTACCGATTATGTCCTTCTAAAGTGACACGTGGCTTACAACGAGAGCGAATGTATTCTAATCTCATACTCGAGCGCGTAGGTTCTATTTTTTGTTGTAGAAAAAAAAAGCGTATAAAATATGATTAATTAAGGCAACCAATAACCATCTTACACATCAGCAGTCTCAAACCAACACGATTATTAATAGAAAAAGCTGCGACTCCTGAGCCTCTCTCTTTCTATCGTCATTGAGATTTTGATTTTGTTCCTCATTGTTTGCTTCAAATTACGCATTCGAATCTGATCTTCGTTGATCTCTGTGGAATAAACTGATAAGAGAAAATCGCATGAATTTTTTTGGAAAACTAGGTTTTAATTCTTCGATTTCAAGCTACTTCACTAATACGTGTCTTTTGATCTCAATTCTTAGTTTTTCTCCTCAATTGCCGATTTCGCTCTTTCTTTTCGAGCAGAAATCGTTAGATCCTTTATCGCTGAATAATAGTAATTCTAATTTTAATAATCCCGTGAGTAATTAGTCCGATTAATCGCCAATCATTGTTGAATCATCAATCATGGAGTCCGGAGGTAAAACTAATCGTCAGCTGCGTAAAGGTAGCATCTTTACTTCATATGATTTTGTTTTTATGTTATTTATTCGAATTTTATGACATGAATCCGAGTTTTGCTGTCCTCAAATTGTGCCCTTGTGGCGATATTATTGTTCTGTTGTGCCCTGAACTGTTTCATATGTTGTTGTTAGCTATTTGTGTCTCAACCGACGAGAAGATGAAGAAGAAGAGATCACCTTCAGTGATCGTGATCGGAGGTGGTATGGCTGGGATTGCAGCTGCTCGCACTCTTCAAGATGCTTCCTTTCAGGTCTGTAATACGAGTAATGCAATCTTAAGATTACAATGTTGTGAGGAGGAACTAATTTAAGTGCTTCTTTCTTTTTTCAGGTTGTGGTATTGGAGTCTCGTGACAGAATTGGTGGACGAGTTCACACTGATTACTCATTCGGTTTTCCAGTTGATCTGGGTGCATCTTGGTAATATCATGGCTCTCTGAACCTTCCTTTCTCATTGATTGATGTTTGGATCTTTTGTCATCGATGCTAACTATTGTGACAGGTTGCATGGTGTCTGTAAAGAGAATCCTTTGGCTGCAGTAATTGGTAGATTAGGATTACCCCTTTATCGTACTAGTGGTGACAATTCGGTTTTGTATGATCACGATCTTGAGAGGTGTGTACAACAGTTTTGGATTTGCTAAATGTGTAACTTAACTAATGTTCTCTCTATGTCTAAACTCATGGTGCAATTCTGATTTCTGCAGCTATGCTCTATTCGATAAGGCTGGCAATCAAGTTCCTCAAGAGTTGGTAACAAAAGTTGGCGAAAATTTTGAGCATATTCTGGAAGAGGTGTGTACTTGGTGTCCATTATTTCTTTTATTATGTTTCTAGATGTTGCGTTACTTCGATTTACTAAGATACTTGTTTCACAAATGCAGATCTCTAAAGTCAGGGATGAGCAGGATGAAGATATGTCAATAGCTCAAGCTTTTTCTATTGTATTCAAGAGGAACCCTGAATTGAGGTATGGAAACATATTGTCTCAACTCAATCCTTTGATTTTGTTACTTGTCCGCTTTCATATTTGTTGCATGCTTAATTGGATTTTTCACTTCTAGGTTGGAAGGGCTTGCCCATAATGTGCTTCAGTGGTACTTGTGCCGCATGGAAGGATGGTTTGCTGCTGATGCTGAAACCATCTCGGCGAAGTGTTGGGACCAGGTTAGTAACTAAATTTTTGTCTGTCTTCGGTTTAGTTGTTGAGGTATGTTCCGGTTTATTGATTTGTTAATTGAAACATTCGCAGGAAGAACTGTTACCTGGTGGACATGGTCTTATGGTTAGAGGGTATCGCCCTGTAATCAACACTCTCTCGAAAGGTCTTGATATCCGAGTAAGCCACAGGTAAGAGTAAGATTCATTTGTCAAAGGAGTTTCCACCATTTAACATAGTTTTCAGCTAAACCTTATTATGGCCTTTTGTTTTTTCAGGGTAACCAAGATTGTAAGGCGCTATAGTGGAGTGAAGGTGACTACAGAGAAAGGTGACACGTTTGTTGCGGATGCTGCAGTCATTGCTCTTCCTCTTGGCGTCCTAAAGTCAGGAATGATAACATTCGAACCAAAGTTTCCACCGTGGAAACAGGAAGCTATCAACGATCTCGGTGTAGGAATCGAGAACAAGATCATACTGCACTTTGACAATGTCTTTTGGCCAAACGTAGAGTTTCTAGGAGTGGTAGCAGAAACTTCCTACGGATGCAGTTATTTCTTGAACCTGCATAAAGCCACAAGCCATCCTGTCCTTGTTTACATGCCGGCTGGTCAGCTCGCTAGAGACATAGAGAAAAAGTCTGATGAATCAGCTGCAACTTTTGCCTTTTCGCAACTCCAGAAAATTCTTCCAGATGCATCTTCACCGGTTTTGCTCTAATCTATATATCTATATATCCCCTAAATTTCTATTTGCTTTGCCAGTGTACAAGTTCTAATGGGGGTTTTTGTTGGCAGATAAATTATTTGGTATCAAGGTGGGGATCAGACATCAATTCATTGGGATCATATAGCTATGACATTGTGAACAAACCTCACGACCTCTATGAGAGGCTGAGAGTGCCATTAGATAATCTATTCTTTGCGGGGGAAGCCACTAGCTCGAGCTACCCGGGGTCAGTGCACGGTGCTTATTCAACCGGAGTGCTGGCAGCTGAAGACTGCAGGATGCGTGTGCTTGAGCGCTATGGAGAGCTTGAACATGAGATGGAAGAGGAAGCTCCTGCTTCTGTCCCTCTTCTGATCTCCCGTATGTAATTTGAACCTCAGGTTTTGTTTTTTTTGTCTCCATATGTTAGATTTGATTTGACTATTTATGATTTCATGACTTGAAAAGTTTATGAGATTTCACTAGTTGGAACTCTCAATGCCACACTCTGATTTCCTTCAAATCTGATTCAGATCTTTAGTCGAAGTCAAATGGGCAATGTGGAGTATGTAATCCATCTGATCCAAGAACTATGTTTAAGTATTAATGCCAACCGCAAACTTCAAATAAAGATTTATTCTTCTTACAACTAAAATCACACCATTTATTCTGGTCAAATTCCTCTTCTTTCCTCACAAATCCATTCAGTAAGATAGATTACCAAATTTCAGATGCAAACTTTGTTTTGGTGCAATCCAAAATAACGTGAAAATATTTGGTATTATTTCCTTAAAGGACCCATAAAACTCAAAGACAAAATATCATCTTTCTTCCTGACTCTACAAATCTGCTTCGTACAATCATTATTAGTTCATTACCTTACACAATTCGAGACTACACGAGTCTTCTTTCTTCATCTTTGTTCTGCACATCAGCAAAATATTGAACATGCGTAGGGCCGTGTAAATAGCAGGTGCTCATAGGGGCATCATTGTCAATTACCCCATGAAACCCCGCCTCCATTTTTGTGTCTAATTACTGAATTAAATTTTGAGGTTATAAATGTTTATAAACAAAAATAAAAAAAATATCCACTTTGAAGTTTTAACTTTTAAAGGATAAGAGAAGAGTAGCTTTCTTCTTCTTCTTCCTCTTGTCTGCTGCGACAGAGAAGAAGCTGCGAACTTTAGATGTCACAGGCTGTAATTTTCAAGCCGTTTGTCTCAGTTCCAACAAGTAATCACAGGTTTCATTTCTACTTTTTACTTCTGTTACCTTTTGGAACAGCTTTCATTTTGGACTTGCTTTTGTTCTAGAATTTTTCTTTCGTTTTCCATTGACGGGTTTGATAATTCTATGCATAAAGGGACCGCCTTTCGGAATTTCTGCAAAAATCCTTGTTGGGTTTGGTCTAATTCAATTGATTGTGTAAGCGGTAGCTGTGTCCAAATGGGTTTATTATTTGAGGATTAGCTACTGTTAGGGTTTATGTTCTTTTCGTTTAGGCTACTAAAAGTTTTAGTTTTTCATTTACAAATTCGTCTGTGTGTATTGCTTTGTCAGCCAGAGGAAACTACAGAACAATATTATCAATGTTGGTGTTAAAATCCAAAACCGATTCAGAGTTGTTTGTATGGGAATGCTGGCTCCAAGGAAATTCCTGCAAAAGAGGAGGAAAATGGAGGTTTTTAAGGATGCAGCTGACGAGACGGATCAGAAGAGATGGAGAGGGCTAATGCTAGAGATTGAATCAACGGGTTCTGCAGTTCCGGTGCTTAGGCAATACAGAACTGACGGTGACCAAGGTCTTCCCAGGGATCTTGTTTTGGGTACTTTGGTTAGATTTAAGCAGCTTAAGAAATGGAACCTTGTCAGTGAGGTATGGAGAATGAATGACTCCCTTTATGTTTTGAGCCTTTAAGATACAATTGAAATCCAATGTTTGATTGGCATGAAACTCATTAAGTTAGTCTTGAATCTTGATAAAGATATTAGATGAGCCATCTTAATGCTGTCTGAGGATTTCACTATTGGTGCTGCCAAAAGCTGTGCTTAAAGTTATGTATACCTGAAAATTTTCTTACGGCATGACAAAAACTGTGATTGATTACTCTTAGTTTTAACAAGAAAGTTGTCTGAGTATCTGATTTTTTGGTGTCTTTGCTTCTTTTGATATCCAGATTCTTGAATGGCTTAGATATCAGAACTGGTGGAACTTCAGTGAAATGGACTTTTTGATGCTCATTACAGCTTATGGGAAACTAGGAAACTTCAACGGAGCTGAAAGGGTTTTGAGTGTATTGAGTAAAATGGGCTCGAGTCCAAATGTGATTTCTTATACCGCTCTCATGGAATCTTATGGGAGAGGAGGCAAATGTAACAATGCTGAAGCGATATTTCGGAGGATGCAGTCTTCAGGCCCAGAGCCTTCTGCTGTAACTTATCAGATTATACTTAAGACTTTTGTAGAGGGGGACAAATTTAAAGAAGCTGAAGAGGTTTTTGAGACTCTTTTAGATGAGAAGAAATCGCCATTGAAACCGGATCAAAAAATGTATCACATGATGATATACATGTACAAGAAGGCTGGAAACTATGATAAGGCTCGAAAAGTATTTTCTTCAATGGTTGGGAAAGGAGTTCCCCAGTCTACTGTCACTTACAATAGCCTTATGTCTTTCGAAACTAATTATAAAGAAGTTTCTAAGATCTATGACCAGGTGATTTGAATGATCCCTTCTTTTAAGTATTTCTTGGCCTGTAATAGTAGTGATCTAACCCTTTTAACTGAATGTTTAACTTTTCAGATGCAAAGGTCTGGTATTCAACCCGACGTTGTAAGTTATGCTTTACTTATCAAAGCATATGGAAGAGCCAGAAGAGAGGAAGAAGCTCTATCTGTTTTTGAAGAGATGCTTGACGCTGGTGTAAGGTCAGTTTATTGTCTTCCGACAACTATTCTTTTGCTGCTATAGCTAAAGAGTTTACAAAGGAGACCTCTCTTTCGGATATATTATTTGTCTTTTATCGTTTTCAGGCCGACACATAAAGCTTATAACATTTTGCTTGATGCATTTGCTATTTCTGGGATGGTGGAGCAAGCAAAGACTGTCTTTAAGAGCATGCGGCGGGACAGGTAAATAATACTTCCATCTTGTTTACTTATTTGAAAATTGATAAGCAATTAACATGTTTCCCTTGCAGAATTTTCCCGGATCTCTGGTCTTACACAACTATGTTATCAGCATATGTGAATGCCTCTGACATGGAGGGTGCTGAGAAATTCTTCAAGAGGATAAAAGTAGACGGATTTGAACCGAATATAGTCACCTACGGGACAATGATAAAAGGGTATGCGAAAGCGAACGATGTTGAGAAGATGATGGAGGTATATGAGAAAATGAGGTTAAGTGGCATCAAAGCGAATCAAACCATCTTAACAACTATCATGGATGCGTCTGGGAGGTGCAAGGATTTTGGGAGCGCTCTTGGTTGGTATAAAGAGATGGAGAGTTGTGGGGTACCACCTGATCAGAAAGCTAAGAATGTGCTATTATCATTGGCTTCAACTCAAGATGAGCTAGACGAAGCTAAGGAACTTACTGGTCTCAGAAATGAGACAGCAACCATTATTGCTAGAGTTTATGGATCTGATGATGATGAAGAGGAGGAGGAAGATATAAGTAGTGAATCTAGTGATGATGAGGATGAGGATGAGGATGAGGATGAAGGAGATGATGATGATGCAAGAGAAACTGTGTTGTATGATAAACCACAAGAAGGGTCTTTGGGTTATGGTAGCTTACCGACGGAAGAACTTGTGGGGTTATGAAAACTGCGGAAAGATTTATTTTTGTAATCATCTAAGGCCACAAGATAAGATTTTGCAGAAGAGGACTAAGTAGATCGTCCATTATTTTTGTCTGTAGTTAACAAAAAGATATATTTTCTGAATCATGAAATAACTTAAAGAATCAAAAGGTTACTTATTTCATATTATATCTCTTGCCACCAAAAGAGGGAAAAAAAACAGAGTCGCTGTTGCTGTTATCTTAAATGCCTTCGTAAGCCATCTCTTGATTCTCAGTTGCCGAAGTCTTTACCCTCTGAGCTGCATTTTCTACCTGCAACAGATGCAGAACAAAGGTAAAAACTTTGGACTAGAGAAAGGCAGAGAGAGAGAGAGGTTTGTCACTGTTTTACCTCGGAAGTCCAATTAGTTCTAAGTGTAAGAACAATCAAAGTTAGGGTTTGAAGTATGACTCCTGCAATCATCCCCCACCAGATCCCCTGTAAAGAAAAACCTCCCGTATTTTGTATGATACAAAACATATAAATACAAAGAAAGAGAAAGAGAGAGAGATTATACAGCAACTCCAAGACTAGTTTTGAAGCCAAGAACACAGCCAATAGGAAGACCAATGACATAGTAAGTAACAAGATTCACATAAGCCACCACTGCTTGCCACCCACTCCCAATAGCAACCCCTTTTTACCAATTCAACAAAAGAAATCAATCCACAAAGACCAAAGATCAATCAAGCATTCACGAAAAGGTCTCTTCTGTGTGTGTGTTTTTACCTGAGAGAATTGGTTGGATTCCGTTTAGAAAAATGGAAATGGCGAGGAGAGGAAATAGGTCAGAGACGGCAGCTATAACTTCTGCGTCGCTGGTGAAGGCTTTGCTAAGGCCGACGCGGAACACGAGCACAATGACACAGAGAACTAGGCTAATGAGAACCGTCGTAACGTTAACCACCACTACTGATAACTTAGCCACTCGTGGATTTCCCGCTCCTAGCTCATTGCTCACTCGCACACTGACCAAAAACACAAAAACGTTATGATAATTTCAACTGAAGACTGCATGCTCTTTTTTTGGTTTTGTTAATACCTGATTGCTGCACTTAGACCAAGCATGAACTGCATATCCCAGTTCAAGTAATACATGCTGCAAAATGACTAAACCGGTTCAAGATATAACCATTGAGATTCATTGGTGTTTTGATAAGTAACGGTGAAAAATACCAAATCGAAATCGCGTCTAGAGAAATTGTCGGATTGGTGAGTAAACCGGAGATAATCACTAGCCCTTGGTTGTACCATATCTCCAAACTGCAGGGTTTTTTTTCATGAGAAATGGTATCAGCTTTATTTAAACCATAGACTTAAATGGTTAAAGCAAACAGCTTTGTGTGTACCATAGCATAACTGCTGAAGCCACCGTGAGCTTGAAGTAAGGCCATATCCCTGTAAATGCCCTAGTTGAAAACCCGGTCCAAGTCTCCTTACAACTCGTGCTCATCACGATATACAGACCGTTCGCAACCACAAGCAGCCACCATGAGAAACTGAGAATCAGAGCCGCACCAAGCAAGCCGAAATCCAGCACGTTGGTAACCAGCCATGTGAGTAACGTGTGGAGCAAGAAAACTCCTAAGGACATGTAAGCCAAAGGGTTCACTATGTTCTGAGCTTGAAGAAACCTCTGCATCGGGCAAGCGAGGGCAAAAGCATATATCTGTGGAATCATCCCACGTGCAAAGATCTGACCCTCGTGTGCTATGGCTACGGATTGGCCCATTGCTTTTAGGATTGGACCCGAGTACCAGTAGAGGAACGTGAGGAGGAATGCAGCTGCAAAGTGCAAGACCATGGCTCGTTGGCAGATTATTCCCATTGAAGAGTACTGTCTCGCTCCGTACGCTTGACCACACACTGTCTGGACTGCGCTCGCCATTCCCAACTAGCAAATTTGATTAACCAAAAGTTTAAACACTCAAGATCAGAGACTTCACCCTTTTAAAAAACAGAATAACAGATCATATGTTTAATTAGGAAAAATTAGCTAAAAAACGTTAGATAATGTTTTATCTTTGGTTATTGTTCCTCATAAACCGAAAATCAAGAAATTCAAGAAACTCAAAGTGAAAACGGTAATCAAAGTAATACGACGTTGTTTTGTGTTCTTCACTCTGTTTTTTACTTTATGAACTCAAATGTGCCTTCGTACCATGATACCGTAAGCTAGGCCTTGGATGCCGACGGTGGCGATGGAAGCGCCAGCGAGCTGAAGAGAACCGAGATGCCCGGTAAACATGACGGTGACGAAGCTGAGCATGTAATTCAGAACAGAGACCACTATAGAGGCTCCGGAGAGTGTCCATAGAAGCTTTGACTCCCACACGGCCAGCTTTAGCCACCACCGTGGCGTCACCGTGGATCCATGACGGCGGAGAAACTCCTCTATCTCCGGCGAAGACCGTTCAGTTATCTGAGAATCGGAGTGGAGTCGTGTCAATAACGGCTCGTATGTCTCGGTGGAGCTCATGGTCCGTTTATTAGTTCCTCTTTGCTTTTTCTTTTGTTTTGTTATAAAACGGTGCGTCTTTATATTACGACTGACTCTTTTGGTTATGTTGAGAGTTCGAGTCGTTGACCAAAATTGAATCGATGGTTTAGATCTCTTGTGACTCTTTGGTCTTGATTTTGATGATCATAGTGTAACAACCATTCTCTGGTTACCGTAAATAGACTAGAGATTTACTACCGATCAAACTTTTTATTGTATATCTGGAACTTCTTTGTTTTTTAACTGAAACTTATGTGTATAACATAAGAGTAACACTAGGCATTTGAGTATAAGTGTACATTGGGTGAGAAAGAGGCTGTGACCTGTGAGTTATACACAGTACCTAACGTTCTTCAACGAATGTGAATAGATCCAACGGCTAGTCTCGACATTGTACACATCCTTCAAATAAAATGGGGTAAGATATATTGTTTTCCACGTAAATAACTTATCAAGAAAATGATAAAAAAAAATATATAGTGATTAGTTGACAAAAAAAGAAAGAAAAAATAGTGAAATACTAAATACTAGCTTTTTACAGAATTAACTAGATCATGACCCGCACATACGTGCGGGGTTTCATATTTTAAAAAATTTCTAACAAATTTTAATTCAGTATAGATTATTTTGTTGTTTTTAACTTTTTATGATATATATATATTTTAGTGTATTAGATCTGGATCCACATACGTGTAGAGATATTTTTATAGAAAATTTTATAGAGATTTTAAAAATATAAAATATTTGTTGTGTTAGTGAACTTCGTAATAGTATAAATATTATAAAGTTAGAGTAATGAACAAAATTCAGTTGCGTTAATACATAATTATATTTTAAGATCCGGACTAATTTAGTTGCACAAGTTAAGTGGTGTTATATTTTTATTTTCTTAACTAATTAAAATAGTTCTAACAGTTTGATTACATATGTTAAATAGGATATGAATTCGGTTTTAGTTTGGGTTATTTCATGTATATTAGCTAGGAGTAACTATTTTGGAACATGAAAATATCCCGTCCGGTATCTGTCATAAATTCTTTGTCCCATAATCTGTCACGTATACATAAAATAAAAATATTATGGTCTCATATCTGTCATAAATATAGTATGTGTAACTGAAAACGTATGTACAGTGTTACGTGTGTAAACAAATTTATTTTATATAGTGCTCATAACCCGAACTCATGCCAGTTGGGTATTTAGATTGATTTTTAATATATGTTCCCCTCCCATCTCGTCTCGTAATTTCTATTTCCATTTTATTCCATTAAAATCATATTCCAAATTCTTGTTTGCTTACTTTTAAATACCATACAATATTACAATATATATTGTGAGTTTTGCGGATTAATATGTATACTGTTAAAGTTATAAATATATTTAAACAAATTTATTAATGTTTCTAGCTAAATTTTGCATATTTTTCTTTTCATTGTTTAATCATAATTAATTCGATTTTTGGGACTAAAATTAAAATTTGAGATACATGTATAAAAGGGATATGCTATTGCTGCATAATTTGTTTTGAATGCAAAATATATATAATTAGTTCACATTATTTCAAAAACTGTGTGCAATATATTATGGATTTGTTTAAAGAAGATCTGGTTGAGAAAAAAAAACACAATATATTTCGAAATTAATATGTACAATCTTTTGTTTAGATATTTCCGAAACTTTCTCTAAACGAATGCCATAACGATAATTACATATCATTATTTGAGTTTATTTCATAGTAAATATAAATATTTGTTAATATCTAATATCGTTTTTTTAGAAATTGTGAAATAAAATTTTGTTTTATATTTCAAAATTTGTGAAAATATTATAACAAAACTGAGTCATAAATATTTGTATTTAATTCTTTTATAAAATTTCAAATTCAATATTAAAATCCTCAATTGATAAAACTTTTTAAACGATAGTGTTTTTTTTTATTTTGAATTACAATGGTATTATTTTTCTTTTTATTTTTAATATAGAATAGTTTATTAGGATTGGTTTAGATAAAATTTTAGTTGGATATCAAATCTTATTTTTTCAATTCTCATTGGTTAACAAATTTTTAGAAAATATTTTTTAATTTTCGTCCATAATTAATATGAGAGAGAAAGTGAGTTTAATTTTTTGGAAACTAATAATTAATTTAAAGAATTTTACTATTTTTTATTTAAATATATTATTTAAAAACAAAAACAATGGCATTTTTGTAATACTTTACAATTTATAAGGTTATTTATGTTTGAGTGCTTCCCAATTAATAGTATAGATATTTTACATGTTACCACTTATGTACTCCTTTCTCTACCCTAATGATATAAGGAATTATTGCACATTTAGGCACTTTTTTGAACATATTTGTGAGTTTAGACACTTTCCAAGGAGTAGGCACTTTGTGTGGACAATTTGACCAATTTACCCTTTATAGCTAAGTCTCTCTCTCGTTACAATCTCTTTGTTTCTCTCCTTCTCCTATCTATTCTCTCACCTCATCGACAAAATCAAGCTGAAAAACCAATAAAGAGAAAAAACAAAAGTCATTTTAGTCTTCATTGATAACAGAGGAGAGAGAGAGAAGAAGAAGCTTCACGATCGCAACAATGGCGGAGACGAAGCCATTTCTCAAACTTCTTCCTCTTCTTCTTCTTCTTCTGCTTCACTTCCCTTTCTCATTCTCTACCATACCTCTCGGCTCTGTTATTTTCGCCTCCGGTTCCAACCAGAATTGGCCATCTCCAAATTCCACTTTCTCCGTCTCCTTTGTTGCAGGTTCTTCCCCTAATTCATTCCTCGCCGCCGTTTCTTTCGCCGGAAACGTTCCGATATGGTCAGCGGGAACCATTGACTCGCAAGGATCTCTTCGACTTCTCAAATCCGGCGCTCTCCGTCTTACCAACGGCTCCGGAACCACAGTCTGGGATTCCGGTACAGATCGTCTCGGTGTTACTTCCGGTTCGATTGAAGATACCGGTGAATTTATTCTCCGCAACAACCGAAGCGTTCCGGTTTGGTCTTCCTTCGATAATCCAACGGATACAATCGTCCAATCGCAGAATTTCACCGTCGGTAAGATTCTCCGATCTGGTCTTTACTCGTTTCAGTTAGAGAGAAGTGGGAGGCTAAGCAAGAGGCTGCGAAGAACAGAGTCGGGTTTTATGTTATCGTATGGTAAACGACCGTGGACGAAGCTGTGGTACTCATCGTAGTCAAATTCATATCCGATGGCCTAGAGAACGAGAAAATGTTACAAACAAATTTTATGAAAAATAATCGAAGTTTAGGGATGATATTGATTACGTACTCTAAGACCAGCCATTGTTGTTCCATAGTTCTTGTAGAGAAGATCAGACAATTCGAAGATTTTGTCCTTTGGTATATAGTTCTTGTAGAGAAGATCGGACAATTCGAAGATTTTGTCCTTTGGTATACCGAGTTTCTCGGTCATGTAATCTATTAAACCGGAAAGACAAAAAGCAATTTCAGAATGTATTGTTAAGCGATAAATCGATTGCGGTAAAATAAATATTACTACCTTTGATGTTGTTCCCACATTCTCTTGCGATTCCGGAGCTAAGAGGATAAAGAGTATCGTCCAAACACCAAGAGGTGTAGTCCATGTGTAGTCCTGGTTTTTCATTATTAATTGTCTATTTTTTGGACAACATTATTGAAGTGTCCAAATTTTATCGATAGTGTAAACAAGATTTTTTGTTTTTTTTTTTGTTTTGGTTATAATGTGTAAACAAGATTGCATAACTTTTCATGCTTCTATCGGCTTTCTTCTTTGTCTTTCATGTTTATACCGGAACAAAACCTCAAGACGTTTAACCATACAGACCTCATGCTTGACTAAATGGTATATAATGATTGGAGTGTCTATATAAAAGTGAACGAATGGTTAGCAAAAAATGGACGCTACTCGTGAAATTGGTGATTTTCATTTATGTTTAAACTTCTGTGTTGGTATGAAACGACCATTTGAGTCACAAGATGGCTATATGGATTGCAACCGCTTGGACAAACATTAATGGACAACGCTGCCTTTGTTTATTGTTAATGTGTTTTATCGCTGGATAAAAATATTTTACGAATAGGATATGATGGTAGTGTCCATACACAAGTGAATATTGGTTAAAGAAAAATGAACGGTGTACTTTTAATTGACGATTATCCTTCATATATAATTTTGTGTATTGATATGAAACGACTAGATGACCATTTTTACATGACTGCTTGGGCACTCATCAATGGACATCTATGTCTTTAATTTGATGAGAATGTGTTTTATCGCTTGGTAAAATTATCACTTTTTAATAGTTACGATATATTGTATGGTTTTGAGTATCGGTTTACGGTTTTAAAATCTAGTTTATGTTTAAAGATTATGATTTTAGGATATAAGGTTGAGTGGAAAAGGGTTAGGTGTTAGATGTTTAGGGTTTAGATTTAAAGTTTAGTGTGCAGTTTTAAAAGAATTTCTAAATGTTTTAAAATGACAAAATGTTCTATAATAATCGGATGGCCTACTATGTATTTGGATTTATATTGTTGACGAAGCTAGATATCGATTTGGGTTTAGTAGATATAGAGGATAGGGTTTAGTGTTATATATTTAAAAGAGTTTGGGTTTAGCAGGTAGGGAGTAGGGTTTAGTGTTATATATTTAGAAGAAGTTAAATATCAGTTTGGGTTTATATTGTTGACAAAGTTAGAGTTCGGTTTGGGTTTAGTATGTAGGGGATAGGGTTTAGTGTTATATATAATTGACATTTAGATTTGTCTTAATACTTAAAGAATGACTAAATGCTATATAATGATAGGACTGTCCGTACACAAGTGAATATTGGTAAAAGAAAAATAGATGATATACTTTTAATTGACGATTATCGTTCATGTATAAACTTGTGCATTGGTATGAAACAACCATGTGAGTTACTAGATGACCAACTGGACTTGACTGCTTAGACACTCATCAATGGACAACTATGACTTTGATTTGCTGCAAATGTGTTTTATCGCTTGGTAAAATTATCATTTTTTTAATGGTTACGATATATTATATGGTTTAGAGTTTTGGTTTACGGTTTAAGATTTAGTGGACAAGGATTCTGGTCTAGGATTTAATGTTTAGTGTTTAGGGTATAGGGTTGAGGGATAGGATCTAGAGTTTGACTTTAATGTTCAGGGGTTAGAGTTAAGGGTTTGGGATTAGGATTTGGTGTTGAATTTTTAGGGTTTGGGTTTAAATTAAATTTTTAGTAAAATCAACTTTTAGTGTCTAGTTTTTAAAGAATTTCAAAATGTTTAAAAATGACTAAGTGTTCTATAATAACTTTTGGTTTCTTTTAGAATATATTGATCTAGCATTTAAATTAATTGAGCTTTTTTGCAAAAACTTTGCAGGTTGGTTAATCAAGCTCTAACATGTTTTGTCTTAACTTGGGTTTCATATAACTTGTCGTATGTATTTTTACAAAGTGGTTTATCCATATGGACAACAATTAATGGTCTGGGCATCCAACGACATCCATAAACAATTTTGGACATGATTACGTAAATAGAAAATTATAATTGATCCATACAACTCTAACTATGTGGATGGCTACTTGTAAAGTGTTAGATATCAGTTTGGGTTTAGCAGGTAAGGGGTAGGGTTTAGTGTTATACTTTTAAACCGACCTTTCATTTCGATTTAGGTTTAAATTGTTGACAAAGTTAGATATCGGTTTGAGTTTAGTAGGTAAGGGATAAGTTTTAGTGTTATATATTTAAAAAAGGTTAAATATCGGTTTGAGTTTAGTAGGTAGGGTTTAGTATTATATATTTTAAAAAAGTTAAATATCTGTTTGGGTTTACTTGGTAGAGAGTAGGGTTTAGTGTTATATATTTAAAGGAAGTTAAATATCTGTTTGGGTTTAGTAGGTAGAGAGTAGGGTTTAGTGTTATATATTTAAAAGAAGTTAAATATCAGTTTGGGTTTATTAGGTAGAGAGTAGGGTTTAGTGTTATATATTTAAAAGAAGTTAAATATCGGTTTGGGTTTAGTATTATATATTTTAAAAAAGTTAAATATCGGTTTGAGTTTAGTAGGTAGGGAGTAGGGTTTAGTGTTATATATTTAAAGAAAGTTAAATATCGGTTTGGGTTTATTAGGTAGGGAGTAGGGTTTAGTGTTATATATTTTTAAAAAGTTAAATCTCGGGTTGGGTTTAGTAGGTAGGGAGTAGGGTTTAGTGTTATATATATAAAAGAAATTAAATATCGGGTTGGATTTAATAGGTAGGGAGTAAGGTTTAGAGTATCTAGTGTATGGTTAAAGTTGTGATTCTTGCATCACCAATGACACTTTTTTTCATTCAAAGTTGGTTTATATAATGATTGGAATGTCTATATACAAGTGAACAAATGGTCAGCGGAAAATGGACGCTTTTCGTGAAATTGTTGGTTTTCATTTATGTATAAACTTCTGTGTTGGTATGAAACGTCGACCATGTGAGTCACAAGATGACCATTTGGATTGCACAGCTTGGACAAACATCAATAAACAACGTATATGGTATTGATCCATTTTATAATGATGGTAGTGTCCATACACAAGTGAATATTGGTCAAAAAAAAATGGATGGTGTACTTTTAGTTGCCGATTATCGTTCATGTATAAATTTGTGTATTGATATGAAACGACTATGTGAGTTAGATGACCCTTAGGACTTGACCTCTTGGACACTCATCATCATCTTCATCACTCCATCGTCATCAATTCACCACCACCATCATCATCATCATCATCATCACCGTCACCGTCACCGTCACCGTCACCGTCACCGTCCCCGTCACCGTCACCGTCACCGTCCTCGTCCTCGTCGTCGTTCGTCGTCGTCGTCGTCGTCGTCGTCGTCATTCGTCGTTCGTCGTCGTCGTCGTCTTCGTCTTCGTCTTCGTCGTCGTTGTTATCGTCATCGTCATCGTCATCGTCATCGTCATCGTCATCGAAATACTTGTAACTATGATCATTGCTTCATAAATTGATCAAAAAAAAGGTTTACGCTTGCGACACGGTTACACTAACGCAATCGACAGTTCGACACAATGTCCCAAAACGACACTGTCGACATATTTAAGAGATCGACAGTGAGAGATTTGACCCCGAGGGAGATCGATGGTTAAGCGATTTAAGAAAATTATGTTTATTTCGGTTTACTAAAATCGGTTTAGTTATTCAATTCGGTTATATTTGGTTTACATATTTGATTTCAATTATTTAATTTTTATTGGTTGGGTTATGGATAACCATTAATCCATTTTAAACCAAACTATTTCAATCCAACTCATTAAACTCATTAAACCATTTAATCCATTAATCCATTAATATCCAAATTTTTAACTCATTAGATCCATGAGTTGGATTGGTTTGGATTGATCCATCAATTTTAAACCATTTTGACACCTCTAGGGTAAGTAAAAGAATGATGATTTTGACCAAAGAGATATTGTGTGGATAATCCATCTTGAATATATTGTCATGGATCGTCGTCTATACCGTAACATATATTTTTTCACCGCTAAATGGTCGTGTGAATATAGTGTCCATTTTTGAATATAATCATATGAATATCAGTTTGGGAATGATCCTATATTTTCCAGCTCTTAAATTAAAATGTTTTAGCTCCACAAACATAAACACTAAAGATGAGTAATACCAAATATAAACATTGTTTACCAAAATCAAATACAAGAACATTTCATAAGTTGGCGAACATATCTTCGAAGGGTAATAGACGGATTCCTATGGTTGACAATCCGCAAGTACGCGTTCATATATGACATTTGGGAGTGGATGTGTATCCATTCATATATGACGTTTAGGAGTGGAGGTGTGTATCCATGTAACATCGAACAAATGGATATAGTGTAAGAAATGACGGTGTATCCATGTAGCGGCGAACAAATGGATATGCATTTTTGTGTTTTTTTTGTAAACCTATCTTGAAATCCATGAGCCACCTTACCTACCATATGCTTAAGAAAACGATCTAATAGATCGGTGTCGCCGATCAGCTTCCTCAGCTTTTGACCTCAACTCAGACCTAAGTATGGAGTTGTCAGACACTGCATTTTTCTCCTTCTCACTATCATTCTTAACATGTTTTTCTTAGCTACTTGGGCTGCCCTAGCAGTTTTCAAAGAAATTTAACCCATCATTCAAAAATTTCCTAAAACAACACGATTGCCAACCGTAAGAGCATAATCCACTAAATGTTCGATTTAATCTCAAGCAAAATCGC